CTGCCTCCAGACTCGGCGCCGCGTCCAGAGGCCCTGAGGCCCCACACGGTGACCCAGGCACGGGCTGGCACAGCTGGCGGAATCTGGGGCTGGTTTGTAAAAAGTGATGCATTTGGAAATTTGATGAAAAAAATAGAACCCCTGGGATCTGAGCCCCCAGGAGTGAGCGAGGCCTTTCTGCCGGGTGGGAATGGGCACAGGAAGGGGGTGGGGGTCAGAAGCAGAAGGGAAAGCTCGGAAATACGAGGAGAAGGGGTCTGGCGGGGTAGTGACTTGGTCGCCCCCTGGTCCGTGGAGCCCCGTCCTCAAGTGTCATTGGTCCTGCCTGTTTGGGCCAGCAGTTCGGGAAGGTCTTCAGGATCCTGACCCTCGCTCTGCACAGTTTCCCGCTTCTCTGGGAACAGCCTGCTCCTTGGGCATCGGGAGGGCGGGCCCTGACCTGGGCGTTAGGAGGCGGCCGAGGGCACCTCTGAGGCTCCGGCGGGGCCCAGCGGCATTCCTCGCTGAGCTGCTCCATTCAGAACACAAAAGACTAACAGAGAAATGCTTGAATTTTTGTAATAACTGCATTTATTTTATTTCCACTTTCGATAAAAACTAGCTGGTTCTTAACTCCCCAAACACACGTGGATAAATGACAAGCTGGGCTTTCCTTTATGCAAAAAATAAAAATAAAAAAAATCATCCCAAGTAAAAATCAGTGTTTGCCGCCGTGAAGATGGGCTGTTTAATGGTGTGTCCAGCGCTGGAGCCACCCAGGTCCGGGCAGGGGCCGGCAGGCAGCCTGGGTTAGACGGCGTTCCGCTGAAGGAGCTGGTCCAGTAATTGCTGGGGAAGCAGGAGACAGGAGTCAGGTGCCGAGCACACCTGGGCCACATACCTCACACCTGCTGGCGGCCACAGCACACCTGGGCGTCACACACATCACACCTGCTGGCAGCCAGAGCACACCTGGGCCACACACATCACACCTGCTGGCGGCCACAGCACACCTGGGCCACACACATCACACCTGCTGGCGGCCACAGCACACCTGGGCCACACACATCACACCTGCTGGCGGCCACAGCACACCTGGGCCACACACATCACACCTGCTGGCGGCCACAGCACACCTGGGCCACACACATCACACCTGCTGGCGGCCACAGCACACCTGGGCCACACACAGGTCACACCTGCTGGCAGCCACAGCACACCTGGGCATCACACACCGGTCACACCTGCTGGCGGCCAGAGCACACCTGGGCGTCACACACCTCACACCTGCTGGCGGCCACAGCACACCTGGGCCACACACAGGTCACACCTGCTGGCAGCCACAGCACACCTGGGCCACACACATCACACTGCTGGCGGCCACAGCACACCTGGGCCACACACAGGTTGCACCTGCTGGCGGCTGGGCCGTTACCTTTTTGAAGACTTCCGCGCGGAGTCTGTTACTCTGTAAGATCACCCTTTTCTTCTGTTCTTCTTTTTTCTTTCTGACTTCCGGCAAGTTGTTGTAGATTCTGAAACAGATCCAGGAAACACTGTGAATGGTAGCAAGACAATGTGTGTCGGAGGGGCCTGCAGCCCGGCTGTCAGCAGGCGCCTCCATCTCACAGGGGAACTCTGCTCACGGGCGTCTCATGAAAACTCACACTTCCTTGTAAAACCAGGGGTTCCAAACCAACTGCCTAGCCACGCCGAGTGCCAACTTGCCCCCACATGCCACCATCCACTCGGCGTTTGCCGCCCTGTGACCCAGGAAAGCAGCAGCAATGGACGGAGGAGCAGGACTGGGTTGGAATCACACACACACACACACACACACACACACACACACACACGTGTGCATGCGTGTGTGTGTCTACCCCTCAGCCACTGTCTCCTACGTAACCTGCTTCCAAACACAATGCAGGCGAGCGGAGGGTGCTCGTGTCGGGGAGTAAAATTAGGCGCTTCCAAGGGGCAGGCGGGCCCATGGGTGCCTCTTCCAGACGCTTCTTTCCTACCTCCTAACAGAAGAGTTTCCGCACGGATGCCAGACAGAATTCTCTGGAATCCACGGCACATGTGCTGCCTGTGCCGGGCTTTTGCATGGCCACCCATGGCGCTTGGTGAAATGATGGGTGACGCTTCTACCCAGGAACCAGGAGGTCACAGTTCAATTCCCAGTCAGGTCGCAGGCCCGGGTTGTGGGCTTGGTCTCCAGTAGGGGGCGTGCAGGAGGCAGCCGATCAATGATTCTCTCTCATCACTGATGTTTCTCTCTTCCTCTCCCTTCCTCTCTGACATCAATATAAAAAGAAAAAACCCCAGCTCTTTCTCGTGTTGGAAAGCCAGACACGCTTTGCTGACCAGGGGCTGCCATGGGTAACACAGTCCTCGCCAAGTGGAACAAGACTGATGCTGACAAAGCGAGCACCTGCCGCTATCGTGGTTCCCGGGCGCTCGGCTAATCGCGAGACGTGGACTGTCTCACACTCCTCACCAGCCGGGAGCGGCGTGGGGTCCCGTGGTTACGGGGTGAGGAACCCAGGCCCGGCCAGGTCAGGAGACTCGCGGACAGGCTCTCAGCCGGGACTCCGACCTCCGTCTGTTTGACCTGGCCCAGCACTGTCCCCCAGCCACGGAGCAGAGTGACCCGGGAATACCGGCGCCTGGCACGGTGCCTGGCTCACTGTGGGCATCCGCATGGTCTGAATGGAGACAGGAGCCATCGTCGCCTCCACAGGGACCCGTCCTCCGGACACTGAGCGTCTGAACCCCGTGGGGCGTTTCAGGGAACAGTCCCCCCACTCACCCTGGGGCTTCTGGTGCAGAATTTATTACATTTTATGTATTTATTTATTTAAATAATCTTCACCGGAGGGTATTTTTTCCATTGATTTTTAGAGAGAGTGGGAGGGAGGGAGAGAGGGAGAGAAGGGGGGGGGAGAGAGAGAGAGAGAGAGAGAGAGCACAAAACATTGATGTGAGAGAGCACATTGATTGGTTGTCTCCCGCACACCCTGACTGGGGCGGGGAATTGAACCTGTGACTCTTCGTGCAGCCGATGCGCTATCCCTAAGCCACACCGGCCAGGGCTGATGCCGTATTTTCTTAAAAGACCTTCCTAAGTGAATTATGTTCCTCCACGTAATAGACCACTTTGCAGAGTTAAAACCCGTGAGGGGAGTCATCTGTGTTCATATCTCCTGACACAGGCAGCCCGCACAGACGTGTTATAAAGTGAAAACACAAAAGCAGGCCGCGGGAAGATGAACTACAGCGAGTTCCCACTTAGGGCTCAACGTTAGATCGTGGGGTCGGTCAGAGAGAGGATGGCAGAGGCACCAGGGAGGGTGCGCAGGGCTGGGAACTGGGCGTGTCTGG